AGACTGAATATATCTTCCCTTGTCTCAGATATAAAACCTAATACTCGTAGTTACTGCACCACAGAGACCAATTGCTGTGTGGCAGTTCAACAGAGAGACTGGATGAATCTGTCTGACCCAGACAGGAGTTACTCTATGACTCAGGCAGAGATGGGTAATGACCCTATGCAAGCAGAAGAGGCACCCCATGGCAGGAAACATGTCGCAACCGTATTCTGAACTTGCTTACAGTTTTATATGTGCTGCTTCTGCTCATCTCTATGGCAAAGGGTACAGGTTAAAACCACTGAGCACCAGAGAATTGGTAGGTGCCCAGGGATCATATGGCAGCTGGAAAAATATGGGATAGAAGAGCCACCATGAACATTTTTAAAAAGGAAGGATATATATGTTGATGCTTGTATTATTATTAATAGTAGGACACTTTCATTCCCCATAATTATAGAAGACTACCGGTAATTCTATTAGTGGATGCCTCCAGAAAAGATCAAACAGCAATAAACTACACACTTTATGACTGCATCTTATTTAAAGGGACAAAATGTAGTCCACCAGCAACACTTCAAAAAAAAGTAGATGGAACTTTAATCTTTGTTCAAGTATAAAACTAGTATTTATTAAAATACTTGTCTCTGAAATCTTATTTTTGTATTTTCCTATACAGGTAGCCCTTGACTTATGACCACAATTCAGCCCAAAATTTCTGTTGCTAAGTGAGACATTTGTTAAGTGAGTTTTGCCCCATTTTGCAACCTTTCAGTTAAGTGAATTGCTGCAGCGGTTAAGTTAGTAACACAGTTGTTAAATGAATCTGGCTTCCCCATTGACTTTGCTTGTCAGAAGGTCGTAAAAGCAGATCACAGGACCCTGGAACACTGCGACGGTCATAAATACGAGTGAGTTGCCAAGTATCTGAATTTAGATCATGTGACCATGGGGATGCTGCAGAGATTGTAAGTGTGCAAAAAGGCCATAAATCGCTTTTTTAGTGCTATCGTAATTTCGAATGGTCACTAAAAACATGGTTGTAAATTGAGGTCTACCTATAAAATCCTCCTCTCCCTGCAGAATCAGTCACTTCACAGTTGTTCTCTTAACCATCTTCAAGTATCACTGTTATGGGCAACAAGCAGACATAAATGTTGTCAGAAGAAACCCTGCAGTGCACAAATTTGAGCCAAATTGGATTGGGCCAGTAAATCCTGTTTAATAGAGGGAGATGTTTGATACAGAATACTAAAAATGCATCTGAACTTTCCTCTTTCATTCTTTCTGTTCATGCTAAAGTGTACAACACTAGGAGACAATTGAATGTATATTTCATTCCACATGAGTTTGATATTAAAATTAGGAACCTATTTATAACTAACATGAGAAAGTTATCTCTGTCCTTCTAGCAAGTAGGACTCCTGAAAGAAATTAATAACCATTTCTGTTTCAGAAAAAACCATTTCAGCAAAAGAGGTTTTAAAAAAGAGACTAGAAAAATCAAGAAAATCTGAACACCAGTTTGAAAGTCTTAGCACTGTAATTATTAGCCTATCAATGGCGGTCTGAAACACAATCCCCAAATTGCATCTGGAATAAATGAATAAACTTCAGCTATATCAGAAGGCAATTTTAGTGACTTACAATAAATGTTGCTAACAGATACCAAGTTTTTGTGACGTTACAGTTCTGCAAGATTTAGAGAGCTACTTTGCGAAGTTTGCACACACTTGAATGAAATGCCTACAAAAAAGGCAGAGAAACCTGGTCATTGGTTTCCCTCTAGTGGCCATTAGTACAAGCCTCATTTTCTTCTCCTGGGATCGGTACATTAATGACAAATGTCCTAAGTCTATGATTTTAATAATTTGGAGGTGCACCAGACCATCCCGTGTAATTGTGTAATAACAGTTGAGACCTGAAAGGATTGGCAACCTCCTAGATAAACTAAATACTTCCATTTGTTATCCTCTCTTCTTTCCTCTATGTCCCCTGCATCGAATCCAAAGTAGTATTCTCAAAGGTGACTTCTTGTGATGCAGGAGGAGGAGAAAATGAAGATTGTCACCATCCAGTAGTCTACCATGGTGTTAACAGAAGGGCTCTTGAAGGGCTGGAAGGGTATCTGCCAGAAGAAAAATGGAACCCCAGGAAGGAAGTGACGGGGAATATCTATTTCTTTGCTAATGTGCTAATTTAATGTAAATATAAGAAAGGGATGGGGGTTTTTTTTCCTGCCAAAGTGATCGTACTGTTCCTAGTGTACCAGGAAACCACATGCAAAAGCAAAAGGGGCCTAAAGAAAACATAAATTGAAGTCCACCAGATATTCTCTCAAACACACACACGTGTACCAGTATAAATCCAACTCTTCATCCTGAAATTAGCTTTTTAACCAATTTTACTGCAAAGATAGGTAGTTTGGGCTCCAGATAACTCATCAGTTGGAACTCCTTTAATGACCAAGAAGCCCTCCTCTTTAGACTCCTAAGATCTTCTGATTTCTGGATATGAAATATTAAGATGGAACTTATCAGGGGCCTCCCTCAAGTCAAACTTAACTCTTGGTGATGACATGGATATGTTCCATGATGCTTTTTTACCATGTTACGAAAATGATTTATCACTGGTGGGGGGAGGGGTTAGTTGTTTTGTTTTTCTTTTCAACTTTCCAATCTGGCCTGCAACAACCTCCCATCTCAATATTAACAAATCAGGCTGTGCAGCACTTCAGATTTTGTTCTGCACAAGGTGTTTCAAAATGTAGAGGTGTATAGAGTACTTGCCCACAACTCTATAATTATCTTCAATTAGAATAGCAATTACATTAAAATTCTTGTGCTAAGAGATAATTAAACGGAACTGGTATAATGGATCTATCTTATTTCATCTATCCACTTCATCCTGGAATAGAAAGTTGGGGTCCTTTCAGATTCCTCTATTGGGATCATGAGTCATGATGAATTGGAATACAAAGTCCAGCAGATCCACAGGTACAAGTACTATCTTCATCTTGAGTCCCTCTGCCTTGAAAAGGCAGGTTGTTCAGATGGGGGGGGAAGGGGGGGAGACACAGAGATGTCGATTCATTCAGTAACTCCAAGAGATAAATCTTAAGAGCCAGCCTACCTTCCTTAGCCCAGCTAATTTTTCTGAAGAATCATCTTGTTCTCTAGATAAATGGGTATCTTGGGTCATTTTAACTAGCAGTAATATGACCTACAACACTATCTTGCATTTCCACCTCATTGCTTCCAAAATAATAATCTTGTAGTGAAAAGACTATAGTAACTTCTTGCCCAAATCTTCTCTCACTCCCATGCTGTTTCCAGTACCTAACAAAAATGGAAACTCTGTGATTATTACTTGGATATGCAGCTAAATTGGACACTTGGACAGAGCAATCTCAGTGGAGCTTGCAAGAACCAATAGATGGTTGCAACAGAAGTTTCTCAAGGTTCTAAGCGAGGCCTCTAACTGGATCCAGAAGGGATTGGCTTTCACATTCTCCAGTGCCTTCACATGTGGCCTCCATTTCTTTCCCCTTTTGCTTGACAAGAGGTGGGTATCCCCTGCCAGGAGTCCTCGGGCTAGAGGCAAGGAAACCCATCACTGATTTAGCATAGCTCATGAAGAGGCTTCGGGGAGAAAGGCAAGTTCTGACAACAGCTCCATTTGTTGGATTAAACTATGGATGAAACACTGAAAAGTGCCCAGTAGGTTTGCTCAATGTACCATCTCTGTGAGGAGGAGAAAGAACGAAAGAGTTGTATAGTTAACTATTTGAGCTAAACCGGAGAGTACATTTTCTCCTGGTGGTGCAGGGACTGGGATGTTTTTTCAGATCTGTTTATGTAAGTTAGAGCCTTCTGCAGCAATTACTCAGTTCCTTCCTCCTAAGAGGCACAGTTTTTACATGATTGAAAATTAATGTGCTTTGGATTACGGCTCATCCCAGCTTTCTGATCTCAGAATTCTTCTAAAGTGGTCTGCACCTGTAATTCTCTGTTCTATTCCATCAGTCCAGTAATAGTAGAAACCAGTATTACCATATGGTAATTAACTCCTGCATGTTATGTGAGCTCATGAAGCTATGCATGAGGAAGGTGCTGCAGTCATGGACAAAGTTATTAACATCCAGTTCACCCCCATAGGGTGAACTCTACCTAAGTGCTATCAGGCACTATAAATCTCCAGGAAACATCAAAGAAGCAGAGCTTGGATTACATATTTTGGAGGACAAGTCAATCCGCACACCAGAAGTGAAGTTGATGCTTGGCACACCATTCTAGACTACATCAAAATATACTCAGCTTGGCTAACGCAAATTAGACTTACCCTTAAACAGAAGAGCATTTAGCAGAATAAGATTCCAGCATGGGTATTTCATTTCTTTCCATTAAAACTCTCCTTGACTATTCCACGGCTATAAAACTGAAACAGATTCTGTTTTTTTAAGACATGGTATGTTTAGGGAAACCTGGTTCCCATCCTCTGCTCCCAGAAGATTCCAAAGGCTAAGGTGGAAATTGTTCCAAAGCGTGTGCCATCTTTTACTATGAATATCCTTGCACTAAAACCTTTTAAGTTCATTAAAACCCCATGCGAAAACAATAGGAGAGTAGCAGACTGCAAGTAGCCAGTCCTATCTTAGCAGGATGAGAAAAACAGCTGGTTTGTAGGTGCAGGTCTGAAGGCCAATAGCGCCAATGTTCTCCAAAACACTTTGCATCAAGATCAGTTTTAACTGTGAATCATTCTTGCTTCCTGCACGGAAAGAGACACTGTTGTATATTCTTCTTTTTTATACCTCGTTGCACTTTCAGGGCAGGATGGGGTATGTACCAGAGAGTTACTTCTTTGGGCGACTACAAACTATTTAATTTTATCTGCTAGATGAGGCCTGGAGAATCCAATTTTCACAGCACCAATAACTACTTTATACTTGTGACACACAGAAGCTACATTTTCCTTTTGCTTCATGGAGAGAATAAGAAACTAGCAGCCAGATGTTAGATTTGCTTGTTTATTTCGAGAGCTCCTGGATTAATCAGAAGGTAGAAATTAAGCCATACTTTGAAGAAAAGGACAAATAAGGAATACATTAAACAATCAGGGCAAAAGGTTTGTCATAATTCTTGGAGAGGCAACAAATCCTGTCTTGCACACCTTAACTCAATTTACACATCAGGAGTTCAATCCTATGTTCCCTAACAATGTTCATGAAAACAACAATCAGAATTGGAATCAGGATGTCTTTTTAACAGAAGTTTCCATTTGTGCTACCCCTTAGGTTTCACATTCACCAGGGATTCTTCTACAGTAGGCACCCAGCCCTGTAGCCCCACAGACTATGTATGTGTGCTGTATTTACACCAGAGCAGGGCGTGAGCATCAGCATTTATTTCCTATAAGAAAGGTGAAGGAAAGCAGTATTGCAGACCAAGAATTATTTCACAGGCCTGGCACTGCCTCATTTCCTTTCCCACCTTCTCCCAGGATTAAATGTCTGCTGAATGTGCATCCAGCTTCTGATGGACTCCTTGAGCAGCCAGGAGAAGCAGGATGCCAGCCAAACCCTCTGTGCCAAAAGAGAGCCATGCAAGTGACAGAGACCAGCCAAAGGAAATATGGACACGGTCAAAACGCTGTTCGTCAAACATACGCACAGTCTCAATGAACGCGGCTTTGGAGTAGCAGATATAGGTACTTGTCCCGGACAGAGTCAGGAGTGCTGAAAGGGAAGAAAAGTGGAGAAGAAGTCATCAGAGGAGCAACTTGAGTAGCAAATACAGTCATTTGTTCGTATCAACGGAGGTAAATGGAGCAATCCAGATCACAAACAGAGGACCAAGCAAAGAGGCAGGGCTACCATCTCCTTGTTTGCTTGGAAATTTCTAGAAGCATTTGTAAACTAAATAGATCATTGCATTCTAATAAAGCAAATCCTTAGATGACACACCTTCATAAAATAAGTTTCCAGCGAGCTCTTCTTGTAAGTATCCAAGAAATAAGTCACACAGGAGAGTGGTCCCTGCTAGAGAAATGCTTGGAGATTCTGTCCAGAAAAGACCTGGATAAATCCAGCTACCAACTGTGCTTTAGTCGTGTCTCCTATTGGCTTCAGAATAAATTAATTGTTTATAGCTTCTATCATAGTGAATGTGATTATCACAGCAATCTCATTTGCTGGCAAGTTAAGATGCTTATTATGAGATGTCTCACAGATACCTTATGTCCAAGTCTGCTGTGAGTCTCAATTAATGGCTAAAAATACAATCTGCCCTGCATAATCTCAAGAGCTACTACTTGGACCTGAGATGATGCGGGTGAATATTTTATATAATAAACAAACCATGCACCCTGTCATTTGAAATGTCAGATCCAACAAGGAGTAGCTGGCAGGCTCGTAATGCAGAGATGCTATGGGATTCTTCGGAATCTTTCCAGACATAATATCACTCACCACCCAACAGAAAATAGCAGCCTGTGAAGAGCAGAAGCCAGGAAATCTGGGCCAAGGAGCCAATGATCCCACAGATCCAGCCAAAAATAATCAAGATGAGGCTGAGTGGCAGCAAGATCATGAAGGCTCGATGCATGTCTGACAAAGGAAAAAAACAGTGGCATAGCAAAAGAAGAAAGTAAAATCCTGGAAGTTAAATAAAGGAATATGCATTGGCTGAATTATAAGAATCTTTCTGCTGGAAACATCACTCCTTCTTAAACATCTATCAATTTTTCCTCTTAAAGAATGAATATTCCCCTTATGCCTATTCCCAAAAATAAAAACAGTGCCCACTTCTAGAAATAATCAGTTTTACAAAAGGCTCCATCCCCTTTTCTGAATTTAGTGTTTTTACAGAGGACAGTGTGAATTTCAAAATGGGAAGAGCTCTATAAAATTTCCTATCACCATCAAGGATGCCGAAGTCACATAAATCTCTCTACTCACAGATAAGATGTTGGAGTGATGCTGGTACCAGCCAACTCTCTGCACCAAAGGGGTCGATCAGGGGCATACAGGCATTTTGTCCTGGGGAAGCAGTAAAATAAGAAAAGCAACAGACATCTAGCATTGGGGTTCATGGTGCTGGATTGCTGACCAATGCAAACTCAGCAACAGGTATGTCCTAGTTCAGTAGAAACTTCAAAGAAACCACAAGCTAGAACCAAACAACAGCAGTCCAACAAGTATTTGTGCTGAGTGACAGTACTTAGAGGTGGTTTTTTTTCTCAAGATCACTAATTTGGCTCATTCTAGACAATGAATATTTTTTTGAAAGCTAGAAAGGGCAAAGCAAGCCCCTTTAGGTAGTCTGTTGTACATTCAATTTTTTTCCTGTGATAATATCACAACAGGGGCACTCTTTCCTCATTTCATTCCCAGTTGCACGATTCTGATGTGACTTGGAGGAAGAACAAATGAGAAGAATGGGGGATGTGTGTCTCTTGGGTGAGAAAAAGATTCTGCCTGTTGCAATTCTCTCTTGATGGTGGGTACCCTTTTCTCCTAGCTATGCAAGTAGGTAACATTATACTTGACCCATCTCTGCTGCCATAAAAGTTCTTCCCCTCCCCAGATTATGTCATATTGAGAAATGAGGTAATCCTAACAATACCCATCCCTACACTTAGAAGAAGGGGTCTCGATGCTCCAGTCAATTGTAACAAAAGGAAGCAAAGCTCAGAAGACGGAAAATGGCTCTGTTTTACAGCCCGATGCAAATGCATGCAGACGCTTAGGATGGGCTTGGAATTCAGTATATACGTGCCATTTCAGTGGGAGTCCAGCTGACAATGAGACATACTAAAAGTCATGCTAGGCATCCGAATGAGATAGCAAGTAGTTTCCCAACGAGTAAGGCTTACACTTATTAAAAAATTGCATGAGAAATGTGGTGCATTCTTCAGAGCTGATGGTTAAAGTAGCAGACAGCAGCCGTTGGCAGCAGCTCCCAACATTTTCTTCATTGTTGTCTCCTTTGCCCAGGAGATCAAGCCTTTTCCTCCACTCCGGGCTCCTCTTCTCTTAAGGCAGTATTTCTAGAGCTTGCAGACCAGCTCCTACGGTACCGGAAAGGCACTGGGATACAGAATCAAGGGATGGGTGGGGGGGATTAATGAGCCACAAGAGAGTTAGGAGGCACCCCCCAAATTGGCATTTTTCCTCGAACTATATATCATATTATTCAACTAGCAGGGAAAGCAGCGGAGGAAGCACAAATTTGCTGAGTGGGGACAGCCGGAATGAAGGGCCAGCTGAGTTCAACGTCCTGAGCCGCTACTCACTCGCCTCAAGCGCTCAGCCTTCAATACGGACTGTAGCTCCTAGGCGGATGCAGTTTTCCCTGCCGCGCCGGTTGAAAGCCGCCGGATGGATGGATGCATGGATTCGTGATGGATGGGATGGATGGATGCATGGATGCATGGATGGATGCATGGATGGATCATGGATGGATAGATGGATGGATGGATGGATCATGGATGGATAGATGGATGAATGGATGGATGGATGGATGGATCATGGATGGATAGATGGATGGATGGATGGATGGATGGATCATGGATGGATCATGGATGGATAGATGGATGGATGGATGGATGGATGGATGGATGATGGATGAATGGATGGATGGATGGATGGATGGATGGATGGATGGATGGATGGATGGATGGATGGATGGATGGATGGATGGATGGATGGATGGATGGATGGATGGATGGATGGATGGATGGATGGATGGATGGATGGGTGGATGGATGGATGGATCATGGATGGATGAAAACGCCACAGATGTCCGGGATCAAGTAGCCACGGAGTTCCAGTCCACGCCAAGGAGATGGCATGGGACAGCGGCACCGGCAGGCAAGGAGCAAGCAAGGCTGCCCCGTCCTCCCTTACCTTCGCAGAGCCGCCAGAGCCCGGAGTGAGAACTCAGTTCCTCGCCATCCCGAGCGCTGCCGTTGCGCCCAGCCCCGTCCACGTGGATCAAGTACCAGTAGTCGGTGCCGATGGCCGCAGCCAGAAAGCCGAAGCTGAGTAGCCCATTGAGCGCAGCGGCCAGGCAGAGCGTGCCGGGAGACAGAGCCGCCCCGCACTTCGGCACCATGATCCTGCCTCAGCACGGCCAGAGCAGGAGCGGAGAAGCTGCAGAGAGAAAGAGAGGAGGGGAGAGAGAGAGACGCCCCCTTTTGGGACGCACCTCTACCTTCTGAGAGACCTCGGGGGAGCCCAGGAGAGTAGCCAGTCAGTCAGTAGTCAGTGAAAACAAGCAGGTAGCGGGGGCAGTTGCTGCCGGCCTTTGCCCTTCAAACCGGGGAAGAGGAGCAGGAAGAGCGCATCTATGGGCAAAAGAGCAGATCCCAGCTTCATCCAGAAGGGAGTCTGCGCCACTCGACAGCAAAAGCAGGTCTTGGAAACCCGACTAGATGTTACTTGGTGGCAGAATCTCCCCTGTTCATTTTTCATCTACTTCCAGTCCATCTAGAAATAGAGTTGAGATTCATACAATACCCTAAAACCTGGGATGGGAAGTCCAGGTAAGTTTTTGGGTCTATCCCTTTCAAGATGAAAAGAGTGTTAAGACGGGTTGGGGAGGGCTGAGGGGTTCTCTCTCACCCCTAATCCAGAGACCCATAACAGATTACTCTACTATAATCCTTGGAGTAAAACTGCAAAATTTGGAAGAAGCATTTTCTCTGTCCTTGAATCTTTTCTGATTGGGGCAACAATGCTACAGGTGACTAAGCAAATGAAATTATGAGTTATAGAAACATAAGGAAAGAGACCAGGATAACAGCAAGAAAAGGAACTTACTGTCTGAAGTGAGTAAAACTTTAAAGCGCTAAAACATCTCAGAAGTATCCCAAAAATTGATAAAGCTTGGATTCCCAGTTCATACCAAGCTATGGTTTTATACTATATTGATTTTTTCTATTTAATTATCCATTTGGCTGGGTTAGTAAACGTGGTAACTCAAAAATAGTTGTCAGACTCAGTATATTTAAGTTGCACTTCTCAGGTTTCTCCCAAGATGTCCTCATCCTCTTGTGTTCATTACCTATATTTTCATTTGAAACATCTGCAGCAAACATGCTAACCAAATAGAAGGTGCTTTAAATTTCTCCCCAAAACTCATTACTTCTGAGAAGCCATTAATCTCCCTAGTTCCTATTATGTTCTAATTGCTCTCATATATCCATAATTGAAGTAAGCACATTTTTCTTTTCGATTGTTTCTGCAAGCCTTAAAATTCTGCACTTAAGTCTGCACTACTATTAATCTTCTCATCATTCCTATCACCCATCTTTCCCACTTATGACTGTATGACTGTAACCTTGTTGCTTGTATCCTTACAATTTATATTGACTGGTTCCTATTATGATTGATTACTTATTTGTACCTATGACCATCATTAAATGTTGTACCTTATGATTCTTGATGAATGTATCTTTTATGTACACTGAGAGTGTATGCACCAAGACAAATTCCTTGTGTGTCCAATCACACTTGGCCAATAAAGAATTCTATTCTATTCTATTCTATTCTATTCTATTCTATTCTATTCTATTCTATTCTATTCTATTCCATTCCATTCCATTCCATTCCATTCCATTCCATTCCATTCCATTCTATTCCAAGGGATTCAAGGCAATATTATGTCCAATAATGTAACAACCACTCTGTATGGCCACCTTATAATTAATTTGTTAAGAAACGAAAAGATCCTTTGCCTGAAATGGAAAATTCAAAATCCTCTTCCATCAATCACTAAACCTTGTATACCAGAGTGAAAAATAATTGATGATTCACTGCCCTTCAGAGGCATCCAAAAACGTGCTTCTGGGGGTGGGGTGGGGAAGGCTCCACGCTGTCTAGCTGCAGGGCTCTCTCTGATCTGAAAGATGGTTGCAACCACCCTGTCTCCTTAGAAATATCCTACTGTGATATGAATTAATGCAAATGTGTCAAGAAACTGCAGTGCCATTGTTTCAATTGCATTACAGTTGCACTGGGATCTATTATGGTTTCACCACTGAGCAAAGGGCATAGTTAATATTCTAAGAAACAGCAACGGTGCCCATTGCAAATCATTGTTGGGGGTCATTAGGAAGGCTCTCAACTTTTTAAGAACATAAAGCATCCTTTCCAAACTGTTTATTTAGCTTGTTAAGCTTTGCGAGAGTGTGAGGGAATTTTACAGTCTCCCAATGTGGATAATTTCCGATCATGCTGGAGACATTGTATAAGAAGGCTGCCTACTGTAGTAAAAAAATCAGCTCCTATTAAACACACCCAAACCAATTCATGGCCTGCCTGTTGCCTTTTCATCCATCTCTACCCTGAAAAGTGAATTTTTAAAGGAGCAATAGAAGTCAGACCCTTATTACAAAATAGTTGTTCATCTGCCAGACCTGACAACACCAACTATTCTTGCAATAAAGCTTTTGTATTACTCAAACAAGGAATGCTTTGTCTGAATGTGTGTTGTGTGGCTGTTATAAGTACTAATACCACAAGCTTTCAACTACAATTGGACTGGCTTTTCTCTGTAATATTGTTAACTATTAAAGAGCAGGATCCATTTTAAGTTACAGTGCTAGAGCAGTTCTTGTTTTGAGGGACACAATTAACTGGTCAATCACATCATTCAATTCCCAACCAGATCTGATATTTTAAGATCTACAAATGAAGTAAAATCAGTTTATAGAAATTAACACTTTTTCAATTTTTCCTAAATCTTTTAAAAAGGTAATCTAGAGTACTCTTGTTTACTGAGAAGATGAATTACATAATTGTGAATCAAGATCACAATTAATGTACAGTTTTACCAACAATTGCAGCAACCCAGAGGACCTTGAGGTTAATATGGAGCCAATGACAATTACTGAAGTTCAGGACACAATATGACTGTTTAAAAAATGACAAAGCAAGTGGCTTGGATTAAATATCCACAGAGCTCTTAAAACATAGAATAGAATAGAATAGAATAGAATAGAATAGAATAGAATAGAATAGAATAGAATAGAATAGAATAGAATAGAATTTTTATTGGCCAAGTGTGATTGGACACACAAGGAATTTGTCTTTGGTGCATATGCTATCAGTGTACATAAAAAGACAAGATACATTTGTCAAGAATCATAGGTACTTAATGATGGTCATAGAGATTGGTCCAAAAGCTCCCTATTTTATTAAGCAACTGTTGGCGCCAGTAATGTGTACCGGAAGATTGGAGGCAGGGCGGTAATCATTAAAATACCAAAGAAAGGGAACCTCAGATTGTAATAACTGGAGGGGCATAACATTGCTACCGTGTTTCCCCAGAAATAAGACCCTGTTTTATATTTTTTTTGAACCCTGAAATAAGCGCTTGGCCTTATTGCCATACGCTCAAAAACCCGATTGGGCTTATTATCCGGGGATGTCTGATTTTGCGGGAAACAGGGTAACAGTCCCTGAAAAAGTTCTATACCTTGTGTTGCCCAGGAAACCACAGCATCAAGTGGATGAATACCTGTGTGAAGAACAAACAGGATTCAGGGAAGGACACTCTTATAACAACCAGATCCTGACCTTAAGAAATATCATCAAACAGTTTAGAATTTTGGAAGCCAATGGTAATCACTTTTATTGACTTCAAAAAGGCTTTTGAGTTAATTCATCAAGAATCATTTTATATTACTGTAAAGTCCTATGGCATTCCTCAAAGTTTTATCAACATGTTTAAGAGCCTGTATTATAATTCTAGCTGTTATGTATGAACGGAATGTGGCAACACAGCTTTTAACATCAATACTAAGCCGTGGTGGCACAGTGGTTAGAGTGCAGTACTGCAGGCTACTTCTGCCAATCACCGGCTGCCAGCAGTTTCGCAGATCGAATCTCACCAGGCTCAAGATTGACTCAGCCTTCCATCCTTCCAAGGTCGGTAAAATGAGGACCCAGATTGTTGGGGGCAATTTGCTGATTCTGTAAACTGCTTAGAGAGGGCTGTAAAGCCCTGCGAAGCGGTATATAAGTCTAAGTGCTATCGCTAATACAGGAGTTAGACAGGCATATATACTATCGCCATTCTTCTTTCTCCTCTCCATGTAATTTTTGTTATGCAAGAGCAATGGATAAGCCATCTAACAAATTTGGGTTTTGTGGATGACATTGCACTGCTTGGTGAAACAAAGGTGCGCTTGCAAGAAATGATCACCAGCTTAGATAACGAGGTCAACAAAATTGGCTTACATATAAATTTTGAGAAGACAAAGTTTATGCACATTGGAACAGTCAATGGCCAGGCTATAGAACAAATCCAACGATTTATTTAACTTGTGAGCATTATATCTATCAATGGAGGTACAGATAAGGACATTAATTATATTGGCTTGGAATGGCAGCAGCTGTGTTTCAATGCATGCACCCAATTTGGTCTCTGGCAGATATATGTATTACCACAAAGATACAACTCTTCAAGAATGTTTATTTATTTATTTATTTATTTATTTATTACATGTATTTATATGCCACCATTCTCCCGAAGGACTCAGGGCGGCGAACACAAGTTAAGAAACATGTACAATAAAATCCCATTTTAAACCAAATAACTAATAAATAATAAAACCCGGAAAGACTGTTGTTCTACAAACTGCAATATATGCTTGTGAAACATGGAAGTGTACAACCAAGATGATTAAATGGTTAAATGTTTTCCAGCATTGCTGTTTGAAAATACTTTGTCTCTTATATTATGACCACATCACTAATGAAGAGATATTACAAAGATCAGATTTAGATAACCTATTGAAAAGTGGGTGACAACTAACGATGGTGATGATGAATTAACAACATCACACTGTTCATCTGATATATCCAGTCAATCTTTTTGCAAACTCATTTATGTTACAACATATCCTTCAACAATAAATTTTCAAAGTTAGTTGTGCACTATTTAAGTATTTACATTATTGAAAGTTCTGGCACTCAGTTTCATTGGATGATTGCAAGTCAACTGAAGGATAATTTTCTCTGTTCACCTTCTCTTATAAGCAAAGTAAACTTCTACTATTTGATAGGAAGTTTGGAATCTTTTCTAACATTTCTTTTTAGTTTATGTCAGTGAAACATAAAGCCTACATATCTATAAACGTTTTCTATTGCCTCTAATCTATAATTCTATTGCCTCTATATTTCTATATTATTATCTATAGTAATACTAATATAACAATGTTTTCTTCTTCCAAACACTATTCTGCTTTAATTCCTCTCTCTAGAATTTCTTCTGCTTTTTTCTTTTCCATTACTGGCCAGCATGTAGAGTATTTGCAACTTTCCATATTATGCTTTTGTACTTAACTTTTCCTTGCTGTGCCACTATTTTTGTTGTGCTTCTTTTCCTCTGGATTATTCACTACTTTAAAGAAAAATGCTTTCTTTTGTTCAGCTGCTTTTCAATTTCTTGGTAGTTGCAGAGCTTCCAAAATGCACACCCCCTCCTATCTCCACCTATATCTGTTCAAAGGTTGCAGCTTTATTGTCAACACAGCAGTGCTGATGTAGGGAGAAGGCTTAAATAGGAGGTGAAGAAGGCAATCCAAGTGTCTACATTTTTTCTAAGCAGCCTCCTCTTTTACAGTACCCCTTTGAGGATGACCATTGCAAAGAATCAAAGACATAATCAAAATATAGCTGTTTCCTAAGAACGCAGTTCACCCACTCTTCTCAATTGATTCTATTTTCAAGAATGGGTCAGAGCTTCATTTAGCACCTGAGAGCAATGTTTGCCTTCAAACAATTTTGCCCAGGAAACTATTACAATATGGTACACATGTATTTTATAAAAAGGAATATTTATTCATAAACACATTAGTTCCATTAGTAACTACAAAATTTAACATAAACTTGAACAGTTGAAACTAACATAAATAAAATACATAAATAAAAACTACATCACAAACTACAACAAACACATAGCTCAATACACATTTCACTCAACCATATACCATATCATACCACAGGCACGCAGTGGTATACAGTTTATGAACGCAGCTGTCTATTTTTCCACGGATCAGATTAGCATATTTCTCCATCTCGGTAATTGTGTGCTTAACTTCTTTTTCCTAGAAGAAAATTAAAAACACATATTCCTATTAATAAATAGGCAGCTATTTATAGGGAAAAAAACTATATACGGAATCTTATCCTAATGAACAGAAATCTACCTAAATAATTCACTTTGAGATAGAAATCAGCCAATAACAAACAGGCTTACGCACTGTAGCTAAATTAGGACATACGGTATGTATGTAGCCATATGACCCCTATAGCACAATAGGGAAAGCAGAGTAATTCTAGAAGGAATTCTAGAAGACATTCTAGAAGGAAAGCCATAATAATTTATAATAGCCAAAAATTGAAAGGAGACTAGTAGCATCTTTATTACAGCTTCTTCCCCAATTGCATCTCAGAACAAGGGCAAAGTTTCAACCTCACAGGATACTTACTCCATTACAGGTCTTAAAGTAGCAGTTTTGGAGAAAAACAACTTTGCCAGCACTATTGAATCAGAGATTGCTGAATTCACATATATGTCAAAAGGCTTCAAGCTATATCAGGATGTCTCAACAAATACAGTAGACTTTAATACAACACAATTTTATTTCTTATTGCACAACTCCTTATTATGCAATAAGGAATTTATAATCTATATTGCATGTAACCTACATCCGAGTAGCCTATCTGTCTTCTCCTCCACCGCCCCATTCCCAGCTTTATTCCAATTTAATTTGGCATTAATCAAATTTAATTAATCAATTTGGCATTTCATGCATCTGATGAAATGAACTGTAGTTCACTCTTTAATAAAATGTGTTAATCTGAAAAGGTGCTACCAAACTCCTGCAGAGTGATGAGACTACTCAAGCTAAGTTAATGGTTCCTTGCAAGTTATACTCACAATCAAATTTTTCATCCTCTCTTTACGAAGTTTCATAAATTCCTCTACTGTCAGGTCACAAATGTCTTTCTGTAGAGCAAGAAATGCACAGTTGGGGGAGTGTTTACGGTGCTCTTCCCTAGAAATTTGAAATACAAGTCATAATCATGCAATAATTAATCATGCACCCATAATCACAGCCTAGCCAGCTCTAGAGAGACTAATATCCGCATTCTCTTCTTTAGTCAAATTGATTTCCAAACAGCTTACATGTTTTCATAAAGCTCAGAAAGTATAGCTAACTTTTATGCCAGTCTTTTCTGGCATCCAGGGCCCGAATGTGTCACGTGCTACCCATCCCTACGCCTGATATAGCGAAGTGGGGGGGGATTGTGATACGTCCCATGGGCTGGATGCATCATGTGCTGGCCATGCCAATGCCCGGTTTAGTGAAGGGGAAAAAAGTTCCGATATATCATGTGACGCCACTGTGACGTTTGACACCCTTGATTAGGATAGCTGACAGGACAAATATAAAACCCTTACAAACTCCCCACACAATATTCTAGAGGTTTCTGGACTGTGTAAATTCACAATCAAGATTCCAGGTTCCCATCCTCCTACCTCAGTGAAAGAAGGGGAAAAAACGTGAGTTGAAAAACTTGAGTGGAAGCCAGCTGTACTGACTGCAAAGTATTAGCTGATCATCTTAACAATTACTGTCAGCCATACAATTAATAATCAGATAGAGATGTTGAACCCATCTTTGACAAGTGGCTTAATTTGCTTTGACATGGCTCTAACAGTACTATGGAAAAAGAGTGGTTGACATAATAAATTATTAATATCTAGTACTACAATTCTATATTTGCCTCTATCATCCTCAATATTATCAACTAAATTTAATGTTTTGCAAGATCACCTAAGTGTATTTGTTGAGCTTTCTTTCCTAAAACTCCTTTGGTATCATTAAAAGTCTTAGGATAACAATTCCAAAGTACTTACATGGGGTCATCATCAGGTTCCCATCCCTCTAATTCTTTAAAACATATAAAACATTGTGCCACATCGGAAGCATTCTCAATAGGACAGTGAATGAATCCAGCTTCAGCCATCTGAATTGGGAAAGGGGGAAGAGACAGAGCAAGACAAACGAGAAAAAATGTTCAACAAAGTTTTACATTTCAAGTTATACAGCCGATTTCTGAAACGGGGCTGTAGTTAAAGACTGATAACATCTGACTCTTACCCTGTTACAAATATATGAAAAGAACAGGAAAAGAATAGTAATGTTTTGTGTGTACAGTGCTATTTCAAGTTTCTAAGATTAGCTAATACACACATTCATAAAAAAATTCAAATAGGAAGCAAGATAAGTAAAATAAATTTAAAAATTTAAGAGGACACTTTTAAAATGTCCTATAATGGCTTAGCATTATGATTAGCCTGTATCAATTCACTGAAATATATATACAGAGAGAGCAACCATTGTAAGTAAGATTTCCCTTCAAAAGCTTTTTGACATGAAAATAGCTAGGAAACTGATTTCTCCAGCATAAAAGGATTGCATTCTTCCCATATTAAGAGTTGGTTCTTCTCCCATGTGTTGAACCAGGACATCATAGGAGAGGGTCTCCGGACACTAAGAGAGGGCATTTTATTGTACTGCAATGTTTTAAACCCTTGTTAGCCATCCAGGATTGCTTGGTATATCAAGCATATAAAGAAAGAGGCTTGGTCTTGCTGCCATTTGTTTGCCAGGCTCAAATCAAGACGCTGGTTGGGGGACAGACTTAAAGGAATCAGTTTCCTTTAAGAAATGCCCAACTGGCTGATTACATCAGTCCATTGAAGCCTTTTTGTAGAGAGGATGCACAACACCCGACAAAAGGAAAGCTTTGCAACCCATGGTGCTTTTTTCTCTGTTGCCTGGAGCTTGTCATCTGTGAGTAAAGCAGGCTATGAATCCCTGAAGAATAGGAATAGGAACAGAACAGAATAGAGCTGGAAGGGATCTTGGAGGTCTTCTAGTCCAACCCCCTGCTCAAGCAGGAGACCCTATACCATTTCAGATAAGTGACTGTCTAGTAGAATCTTCTTAAAAACCTCCAGTGATGGACAGCCACAACTTCAGCAGGCAAGCTGTTCCACTGCTTAATAGTCCTCACTGTTGGAAAGTTTCTCCTGAATTCCAGGTTGCTTCTCTCCTTGATCAGTTTCCAACCATTGCTCCTTGTCCTGCCCTCCGGTGCTTTGGAGAATAATTTGACCCCCTCTTCTTTGTGGCAGCCCCTCAAATACTGAAATATTGCTATCACGTCACCCCTAATCCTTCTTTTCTTTAGACTAGCCCAACCCACTTCCTGCAGCCGTTCTTCATGTGTTTTAGTCTCCAGGCCTTTGATCATCTTAGTTGCTCTTCTCTGAACTTTTTCCAAAGCCTCAACATCTTTTTTGTTGTTGTTGTTGTTGTTGTTGTAGGGTGACCAAACTCGGTTGCAGCATTCCAGGTGTGGTCTTACTAGGGCTTTGTAAAGCGGTACTAATACTTGGCGTGGTTTTGATGCTTGGGGAAAAAAGCCCGTTTAAACGAGGAGGAGGAGGACTTCCAAGGCAGGAAAGCCCACCCGTCCCGCACCCCCGAGAGAAGAGGGACCCCAGGGAGGGCTTGGCAGAAACGGGGCCCTCACCCTGTCTGCAGTGCAGGAGCAGTCGGAGACGAAGGGCCACTGGGTAAACGTGGAGAGACGCTTCTCTTTCAGGTACAACTCGAGGCCCGCCGGGACCTGCCCTTTCCCCTCCGCGAGAGACATGACGGTTGCCGGAGTTTTCAAACCGCCGCGGGAAAGAAGAAGAAAAAAAAACAAAACGGCTTTCCGAGGCATGATGGGAAATAGGCTGAGCGCTGACGTCATGTATGCCACGCCCCCATGAGCGCTGAACATGCTGGGAAGCGTAGTTTTTCTTCACGATCGCAATGAACAAAGAACGGGCTTTGTTCTACAATTTTAAAAAAAGCGCTTCTCTATCGACAGCAGCTTTTAGAAAAATGGCCTTTGAAACCCTTACTGATTTTGTTGTACTTTATAAGGGTAAAGCAAAACTAGATCTCCAAGTTGTCCTTTCAAACTGAAAAACTCCACTTTTTAAAATATCTGGTGTGGCAGTGAAGGTTTTTGTGACTTTTAACTATGAACAAGAAGTCATTGTTTTGGTGTTACCATTACCCGCACAGTAATGGTAATGCCCATGAAAGTATAGTAGATGGCAGCACCTTGATGCCCTTGATGAAAAGTTAACCAGGATTGGGTATGGTTAGTTATTGGACTAGGTCACTAGGAAATCCAATGGCTGCCTAGCCAAAGAATTTGAAAAAGGCTATCAAGCAGTCAATTATAAACCATTTTCACACTGTACTGTGGCCCAGAAAACTACTTGTGGGTCCCCAGTCACAATAAATTGAGTTCACTTCGGATTTCAATTTACTTTCTTAACATTACTAGACAGCATAGAATTAATTTCTGAGTGAATACAATACACGTAGGTAAATTCAAAGATTTATTTCCCCTTGGCAGTAGCTCTTTCCCTTGGCTAATTCTTTAAAGTTTATTATTTTTCCTTACACTTCCATTGTTCTCTGGTAAAACCTACCCTGAATTGCAAGGAAAGCAGCGGAGGAAGCACAAATGTGCTGAGTGGGGATAGCCGGAATGAAGGGCCAGCTGAGTTCAACGTCCTGAGCCGCTACTCGCTCACCTCAAGCGCTCAGCCTTCAATAGGGACTGTAGCTCCTAGGCGGATGCAGTTTTCCCTGCCGCGCCGGTTGAAAGCCGCCGGATGGATGGATGCATGCATCCATGGATCGTGGATGGGTGGGTGGATGGATGGGTGGGTGGATGGATGGATGGATGGGTGGATGGATGGGTGGGTGTGGATGGATGGATGGATGGATGGATGGATGGATGGATGGATGGATGGATGGATCATGGATGGGTGATGGAGGATGGATGGATGGTGGATGGATGGATGGATATGGATGGATGGATGGATGGATGGATGGATGGATGGATGGATGGATGGATGGGTGGATGGATGGATGGATGGATGGATGGGTGGATGATGGATGGGTGGATGGATGGATGGATGTGATGGGTGGGTGGATGGATGGATGGATCATGGATGGATGGATGATGGATGGATGATGGGTGGATGGATGGATGGGTGGATCATGGATGGATGGATGGATGGATGGGTGGATGGATGGATGATGGATGGATGGAAACGCCACCGATCTCCCGGATCAAGTAGCCACGGAGTTCCTGTCCACGCCAAGGAGATGGCATGGGACAGCGGCACCGGCAGGCAAGGAGCAAGCAAGGCTGCCCCGTCCTCCCTTACCTTCGCAGAGCCGCCAGAGCCCGGAGTGAGAACTCAGTTCCTCGCCATCCCGAGCGCTGCCGTTGCGCCCAGCCCCGTCCACGTGGATCAAGTACCAGTAGTCGGTGCCGATGGCCGCAGCCAGAAAGCCGAAGCTGAGTAGCCCATTGAGCGCAGCGGCCAGGCAGAGCGTGCCGGGAGACAGAGCCGCCCCGCACTTCGGCACCATGATCCTGCCTCAGCACGGCCAGAGCAGGAGCGGAGAAGCTGCAGAGAGAAAGAGAGGAGGGGAGAGAGAGACGCCCCCTTTTGGGACGCAGCTCTACCTTCTGAGAGACCTCGGGGGAGCTCCGGAGTCAGTTGAAAACAAGCAGGTAGCGGGGGCAGTTGCTGCCGGCCTTTGCCCTTCAAACCGGGGAAGAGGAGCACGAAGAGCGCATCTATGGGCAAAAGAGCAGATCCCAGCTTCATCCAGAAGGGAGTCTGCGCCACTCGACAGCAAAAGCAGGTCTTGGAAACCCGACTAGATGTTACTTGGTGGCAGAATCTCCCCTGTTCATTTTTCATCTACTTCCAGTCCATCTAGAAATAGAGTTGAGATTCATACAATACCCTAAAACCTGAGATGGGAAGTCCAGGTAAGTTTTTGGGTCTATCCCTTTCAAGATGAAAAGAGTGTTAAGACGGGTTGGGGAGGGCTGAGGGGTTCTACATGGTTTTATACTATATTGATTTTGTTTATTTAATTATCCATTTGGCTGGGTTAGTAAACATGGTAACTCAAAAATAGTTGTCAGACTCAATATATTTAAGTTGCACTTCTCAGGTTTCTCCCAAGATGTCCTCATCTTACCTATATTTTCATTTGAAACATCTGCAGCAATCATGCTAAGCAAATAGAAGGTGCTTTAAATTTCTCCCCAAAACTCCTTACTTCTGAGGAGCCATTAATCTCCCTAGTTCCTAAAGTTCCAATCTATATATATAAAAGCAAAAACCACTCATGCATTAATCACGCAATCTCCAGAACTGTAAAGCCTACAAACTTGAAATTTGTCAAGTATGTTCCTCTTGGCTTCTAGGTGCTCACTAAGAAAGGATTTTTCGAGATGACCATCAGAGTATTAGTATTTACTATATTATTATAACATGCTCTGATGCTAATTAGTTAGATGTTCTACTTCCCCTCCCAACTTGAAAATAACTCTGGAGAGAATGGGATAGCATAGGACAGGCTTCTGTGGGGCAAGCCTCATGGAGAGAAGGGGCTAGAAAGCCTGAGGGAGAGAAGGGGATAGGAAAGGATCTATGGGGCCAGCCTTAGGAAGAGAAGGGGAGAGGAGACAACAGGAGAGGCTTCTGTGGGGCCAGCCTGAGGAAAAGAAGGGGAGAGAAGTGGATCTAGGGGGGAAGCTTGAGGGAGAGAAGTGGAGAGGAGAGGAGAGGCTTCTGTGAGGCTAGCCTGAGGGAGAGAAGGGGAGAAGAGAGGCCTACTCATTAATTTTCAAACTCATAGTTTCGTAGCGGAGCACGGGTATTCAGCTAGTTGCTCTAATATATCACTAATTGAAGTAAGCACATTTCTCTTTTCCATTGTTTCTGCATGCCTTAGAATTACAAGGAGGGGATTCAATGGACTGGCAAACTGCCATTTACAAAGGCAATATTATGTCCAATAATGTAACAACCACTCTGCATTGCCACCTTATAATTAATTTGTTAAGAAATGAAAAGATCCTTTGCCTGAAACGGAAAATTCAATATCCTCTTCCATCAATCACTAAACCTTCAATACCAGAGTGAAAAACAATTGAAGATTCACTGCCCTTCAGTGGCATCCAAAAACGTGCTTCTGGGGGTGGGTGGGGAAGGCTCCACGCTGTCTAGCTGCAGGGCTCTCTCTGATCTGAAAGATGGTTGCAGCCACCCTGTCTTATTAGAAATATCCTACTGTAGTATGAATTAGTGCAAATGTGTCAAGAAACTGCAGTGCCATTGTTTCAATTGCATTACAGTTGCACTGGGGATCTATTATGGTTTCACCACTGAGCAAAGGGCATAGTTAATATTCTAAGAAACAGCAACGGTGCCCATTGCAAATCATTCTTGGGGGTCATTAGGAAGGCTCTCAACTTTTTAAGAACATAAAGCATCCTTTCCAAGCTGTTTATTTAGCTTGTTAAGCTTTGCGAGAGTGTGAGGGAACTTTACAGTCTCCCAATGTGGGTAAATTCCGGTCATGCTGAAGACATAAGAAGGCTGCCTACTGTAGTAAAAAAATCAGCTCCTATTAAACACACACAAAGCGATACATGGACTGCCTGTTGCCTTTTCGTCCATCTCTACCCTGAAAAGTGAATTTTTAAAGGAACAATAGAAGTCAGACCCTTATTACAAAATAGTTGTTCATCTGCCAGACAACACCAACTATTCTTGCAATAAAGCTTTTGTATTACTCAAACAAGGAATGCTTTGTCTGAATGTATGTTGTGCGGCTGTTATAAGTACTAATACCACAAGCTATCAACTATAATTGGACTGGCTTTTCTCTGTAATATTATTAACTATTAAAGAGCAGGATCAATTTTAAGTTACAGTGATAGAGCAGTTCTTGTTTTGAGGGACACAATTAACTGTTCAATCACACATCATTCAATTCCCAACCGGATCTGATATTTTAAGATCTACAAATGAAATAAAATCAGTACGCTTTAACTATTTGGCAAGCAACTAAATTCCACATCTATTTTAACCACCGTCATTTATAGAAATTAACACCCTTTCAATTTTCCTAAATCTTTTAAAAAGGCAATCTAGAGTACTATTGTTTACTGAGAAGGGATGAATTACATAATTGTGAATCAAGATCACAATTAATGTACAATTTTACCAACATTGCACAACCAGAGGACCTTGAGGTTAATATGGAACCAATGACAATTACTGAAGTTTAGGACACAATACGATTGTTAAAAAATGACAAAGCAAGTGGCTTGGATTAAATATCCACAGAGCTCTTAAAACATGGTGGAGACAGATTGGTACAAGAGCTCCCTATTTTATTAAGCAACTGTTGGCCCCAGTAATGTGTACTGGAGGATTGGAGGCAGGGCGGTAATCATTAAAATACCAAAGAAAGGGAACCTCATATTGTAATAACTGAAGGGACATAATGTTGCTATCCTAACCCTAACCCTAACCCTGGAAAAGTTCTATACCTTGTGCTGTTCAGGAAACTGCAGCATCAAGTGGATGCATACCTGTGTGAAAAAACAAATAGGATTCATGAAAGGACACTCTTGTAACGACCAGATGCTGACCTTAAGAAATATCATCAAACACAGTTTAGAATTCTGGAAGCCAATGGTAATCAATTTTATTGACTTCAAAAAGGCTTTTGAGTCAATTCATTGAGAATCACTTTGGATTATTGTAAAGTCCTAAGGCATTCTTCAAAGTTTTATCAACATCTTTAAGAACCTATAATATTCTATTTGTATTAAAAGGTATGACACTTAGAATAGGGTGATTGGCATAAAAATGACACATTGAAATATTGAATAACAATAATGAAAAATTATAATTTAATAAAAATATGTATATTAATAGAATTATATAAGCTTGTTAAATGAAACTATTATGATTAATACTATTTTATTTGTATCAAAATGTATGACATTCAGGTGCCACACTGTTCACACATTGATGTTTGTAAAAAATAAAAACTTGAAGAGAAAAAAAAGATCTTTAAGTGCCTGTATTCTGTTATGTACGAACGGAATGTGGCAACATAGCTTTTAACATCAATACTAAGGCACGGTGGTGCAGTGGTTAGAGTGCAGTACTGCAGGCTACTTCTGCTGATCACCGGCTGCCAGCAGTTTGGCAGATCAAATCTCACCAGGCTCAAGGTTGACTCAGCCTTCCATCCTTCCAAGGTGGGTAAAATGAGGACCCAGATTGTTGGGGGCAATATCCTGTCTCTGTAAACTGCTTAGAGAGAGCTGTAAAGCACTGGGGAGCGGTATATAAATCTAAGTGCTATTGCTATAGCTAATACAGGAGTTAGACAGGGATGTATAATATCGCCATTCTTCTTTCTACTGTCCATGTACTTCATTATGCAAAGTACATAACATATGACATTGTACTGCTTGGTGAAACAAAGGCGTGCTTGCAAGAAATGATCACCAGTTTAGATAATGAGGCCAAAATTGACTTAGATATAAATTTTGAGAAGACCAAGTTTATGCACATTGGAAGTGCTCAGGATCCGCCTATAACAGTCAGTGGCTGTTCTGCCCTAGCTATGGACCCCAAAGAACGCAACACACACAAAGTCCGTACAAACCTTAGTTTACTAGTTAAGGACTACTAATGAACTTTCTTAGTAGTTGTTCGAATACAAGTACAGTTTAAATCAGTCTTTTCTGAACAAGGGCTGTTAATTTAACTTCATTAAGAGCCGACAAGAATCCAAAGAATAACTCCATTCTGAGGCACAGAATTTCAGATAACAGTAATCTTACTGTGGTTGGCAGAATGCCCAGAAGCAATTTGCAGGAAAACTGACAAGAGAGAAACAAGAGCCGAATCAAACGTTTCTGGAAATCAAGACGTGAAGGAATATGAACGAAGTTGTTTCCTGCAAATTGCATCAGTCGTCATCCTTCCTTAAATAGGCTAGGGGAGTGGCCAATTAGCCCTAAGCCTTACTCTCGAGGAGACCTCCTCCTGAGGAGCCACTCCTGCCTTTTAATAGCTCTGTGTGCTTGTGCATTGAGAAGAGGCTCCTCCTCTTCTTCCTCCTCAGGGGAGATTCTGGAGGTTCTGAAGGCCCTGGCTGAATCTCCACTTCTGGCACCACATCTTCTCGTCTTCTCATTGTCTGACTCAAGTGCCAGCTGCACAGGCTGCTGGCGCATCACCACACCAGCCTCCTCGCTGTTGGAATCAGCTACTAGCTGCACAGGTGCTGATGGGCCACAATAGTGGCCAGGCTATAGAAAGTCCAACAATTTATTTAATTTGGCAGCATTATATCTATCAATGGAGGTACAGATAAGGTCATTAATTATATTGGCTTGGAATGGCAGCAGCTGTGTTTCAATGCATGCACCCAATTTGGTCTCTGGCAGATACATGCATTATTATCACAAAGATAAAACTCTTCAGGAATGTTGTTCTACCAACTGCAATACATGCTTGTGAAACATGGAAGCGAACAACCAAGATGATTAAATGGTTAAATGTTTTCCAGCAATGCTGTTTGAGAATACTTTGTCTCTCATATTATGACCACATCACTAATGAAGAGGTATTAGAAAGATCAGATTTAGATAACCTATTGAAAAGCTTGGATGAATGCCGAATGTGGGCT